TCTTATCTTCAAGTCTGTTCTTATCATAATTCGCTGGTCACGTGCATCAGGTTTACATTCTTTACAAATAGACCTTTGTAACTCGTTCTCTCTACGAAGCTAGCCGTGCATAAACAAAGCTTTTTAAATCTCCTGAAACAAAACAGGGGCACCCAACGAGAATATAGTTCAAAACCACTTAAACATGGCATTGTTGAACGTATTTTAGTATTTAAACAGTAGATATAGGCATATTCTTATCCCCTAAAAATTTTTCATCTGTTCGGATTTCCTAGCTGAAAGTCTAGTCATCCGAAAATTATAGGGATCAAAACTTACCTTTTCGAAAATTTCAGCCAGAAAAAAGGCTCCCGAAGATTCTAGGTGACCTTTTTACTGTTTGTACGCTAAAAATCCGTTAAAAATGGGTAATTATACCATGTTTGGGAGGTTCGAAAATCCTAGGAGAGGCATGCAAGCAAGAAATTTAACAACGAATGTTCCGAAAATTCTACATCTCAAATCGTCTTTCGAGCAGATATTTTCCAAAAATTGTAGTTGGGTGCCCCCGACAAAATGGCCAACACGTTTCGGCGCATTGTGGTAAACCTTGAGTGTGACTACTGAAGCTATGTTCACATTATATCGGATAGCTTTTGCGCAGACGCGAAAGCCAGACCGGATAGGGCTTCTGTTCACACGTGATAACGGTGATTTCGATGCGATTTCTATGACGAAGCGAAGCGGCGTCGCTATGCAGATGAGAAAAATGAACAAAGTCAAAATCGATCTGAAGTATATAGTTTTAAAACGTACGGAAAATATTCCATGAGAACAGTAGAAGGGCCCAGTCGGAGTAGTTGCCTAAAGGATTCACGCAGCTCAGGAATGATTCAAAGTTGCATGTTGCTTCCGAATGTCCCGAAGTTGCTTCGGAATTAGTTCGAGATATCTTCGAGCTCTTTGATTTTTTCTTTCAGGGGAAAGAAGTAATCATGAGGAAGAATTAAGTATTACTTTTGGAAGAAATAAACAAGCAATAGTTATTATTTCGGGCTTGCCTAGGCTTTGAACTGGCTTACGTGTGACGCGTCAGATCTAAATTGAGGGATTAGCCGATTGCGCCACTGCGACGCAAGGTAATTTGAGATGTGGAAAATAGCTATAAGTTATGCCCGAGGTACGGTTTAAGATTCCGCACGCAAGTTTGTTACTTTTCGGCTTGTTTTGGGTATTTGACGTAGTGACGCAGGAATGAGTTGGGAGCAGACGCATGCTCTGGTTGGAGATATCGCGAGGTCACTTCTAGTTCTTTTGGCTACAACAAATATTTGAGGCGGAGAACAAACTAATGTCGTAAATTTGCATTTTGTTTCCGAAGTGAGGCCAGAAGTTGTTCGAGACATCTCGATATCAGCTCGAGTTGTTTAGTTTGTCTGTGGAAGAAAGAAATATTATTTTTTGCTCGCCCTTCGGTTTGTAGTTACTTATCCTTGCCCCGTTAGATCGCGGAGACGAGATTGTAGCAGAATAGTAAAAGATGGTTGATTTGTAGGTTTAATTTTTTTTTTAATTTGGGCGAGCAGCAAGTTAATGTTTTGCTGCAGAACTTCGAACAGTCGGTTTGCGACGATTACTTATTTTGGGCTTATAGGAAACTGACTGAAACGTCGTGTGCAATTTATTTAAGACAGAAATTATAATCGAATTGGATTACAGCCACGGGGTCATGCACCTAGCAGACTTCCGGTGAAGTCAAGACGTCTGTAACACAAAAGGAGAAAAGTAAGGGTATTTTTATGTTAGGGTATCCGGAAAAATATCATTTCTTACTATTCCTCCACATTCACAATTAATCCCCAATCACGACGCCGAAGTTTACGCTCCATAGCGTCTTGTTTCTTTAAATGCTCTGTAGTTGTACTGATACTAGACTATACAAAGCGAGGGAATATTTTGTTTATTTAAAAAATAATAATAAATATATATTTAATCCTCAATTCACTTTTTGATACTTCACAACTTTTTAGTTTAACTGCTCTCAAGAACAGATCTTGTTTAACGTATCCAAGTGAACTATGGTCTGTGAAGGGACCTTGTATCAATAAAATAGCAATTCTATATTATAAACAACATT